AGAATAACGGTAAAGCCTTCCACAGTAATCAGTCACAATTTCCAAATAGTCTACAATGAATTTCCGATACCATGCGACGTAATTCTTGGATTAGGCTTCATTAAAAAATTAAATTGTATAATAGATTATCAACTTGATGAATTCATCATGAAACCAAAATCACTTAATTATCAAATACATGTACCACTATTACATAATGATATTGACAATTCAATATTATAACCAGCTAGATCAGAAGTAATGAGAAAAATTACTCTACTGACAAATGAAGATACAGTTCTTATACCAAACCAGGAAATACACCCTGAGGTTATAGTAGCAAAGATTTAATAAGGCAATAGTCGTTATTTTAAATACAACTAGTAAGCATATAAAATTCCAGAATCCCTAAATAAACTTCGATTCACTACAAGAATATGAAAGAACAAGTAAGAGGTTCTAGTTGGGAGCTCCCGACTAGGGGATACCGTGAACCCTCTTCTTCCAACATCAAATGAATATATATATTCTATTTTAGAAGCTATATGTCAAGTTTGGTGACTCTACCTCTTATTATTTACCAAAATTGCCCAAAAAACAGGATATCGATATCGATTTTTATTGATTGCTTGGAAACTTAGTAAGTTATCGATTATCGGAAACAAACTCGATCTGCGCAGACATGGACTAGATCGACTCGGCTATTGATGCTGATCAAGAATATACATACTTCTTGGGGTCGGAGATGCTGCCTTCTGCCTGTTACATACATTTGGATATCGCACAAATACAATATACCCTTATATCCATTTTTAATGGGTTCAGGGTATAAAAATAAATAACGTCAATTTCAGGATTCAGGGTATAAAAATAAATAACGTTAATATCAGCAAAATACAAGAACAAATGAAGTCATAAGTAAGTTAAAATTCCCTGACCAATTTAGGAAACGAGCTTATTGATTTATGTACCAAATACAGTGACATATTTGGTATAGAAATAATATTAATTTTTATAAACAAAAATTAAGGTTAGCAGACAAACACCCGTATATATTAAAAACTACAGAAATGCAGAAATGGCAGAAATTAACAGATAAGTCGAAAAATTAATAAAAGATGGTATAGTAGAAACATGTATCTCAGAATATAATAGCCCACCTCTTGGTACCCAAGAAATCTCTCCCAAATTCCAATTAGAAAAAATGGAGTAATGTAGCTGACTATCGCCAAATAAATAAAAAACTTTTAGCAGACAAATACCCACTGCCAATAAAAAATGATATCCTAGGCCAATTTTTACGAGCAAAATAGTTTTCATGTCTCGATCTTATATCTGGATTCCACCAAATAGAACTAGATGAGAAATCTAGAAATGTAGCATCATTTTTAACGAGCACTGGCTCCTTCCGTTTCACGCGGTTACCATATGTTTTTAGGGTAGCACCAAATTCATTAATGCGAATGATGGCACTCGCATTTTCAATCCTAGAGTCATCCCAAGCATTTCTCTATATGGATGACCTAGTAGTTATCGGCTGTTCAAAGCAGTACATGTTCAAAGACTCGACAAGGATATTTGACCTGTGTCGACAACATACATAATTTAAAATTAATCCCAGAGAAATGTGCGTTTTTCTTGCACGACGCAACATTCCTTGAGCATAAGTGCACAGGCCATGGCATCCTTAAGGATGGTAAAATAAATGTTTTATTCAAGTCATTTGACTAGATTGTGCAAAAAGAATGTTTAATTCGAATGGACAAAAGAATGCGAAGATGCATTTAAAAATTTAAATGAATGAAACCTACATAATTGCAATACCCTGACTTCAGCAAAGAGTTTTGCATAACCACAGATGCGAGTAATCATGCATGCGGTGCTATTCTATCCCAAGAGCACAACGGTGTGCAGTTGCCAATTGCATACGCATCCCGAGTTTTAATACAGGGAGAAGGCAATAAATCAACTGCACAGCAGGAATTAGCTGCTAAACATTGGGCAATAAAACAAAAACAGCAATAAAATAAATATACAAGTAAGAGGTTCTAGTCGGGAGCTCCCGACTAGGGGATACCCTGGACCCTCTTATTCCAACACCAAATGCAGCACGTGCTACTCGCTGGTTTGTAGCAATAAAGATAAATTAAATAAAAAAATATTCCCTTGGAAGAGTTCGAACTCGCAACTAATCGCACTACTTGCCGCCGTCTTTACTCAACAGCCACAGCAGAAAAAAAATATAGTTTCCTCGGCATGGCTCGAACTTGCGACAGACCACACAACTTGCCACCGCCTCTACTCAACAGACACACCAAAAATTAAGTCTCTGTGAGAAAAAAACGAATTAAAAAAGCAGACGCGCATGAATGTGTGTGTGTGTACAGAAATTCTTGGAATTTTTGGTATACAGAAATTCTTGGAATTCTTGGTATACAGAAATTCTTTGAATTTGCGTCGCAAACACGTGCACAGTCAAAATACCGAAAAACAAAACAAAAACCGATCCTAATGAAATTTTCTACAGTATTGTATGGTACCATAGAATATTTGTGTATTCTCAAAAATTCAATTGCATTTAAATTGTGGCCTAAATACAAATTGGATTAATAACTAGATTTATAGCTTAATTGTACAAGCAACATATCTTGTTTGGTGACTCTAGCTCTTATTATTTACCCAATTTGCTCAAAAAACAGGATTTCGATATTGATTTTTATCGATTGCTTAAAAACGGAGTAAGTTATTGATTATCGGAAACAAACTCGATCTGCGCAGGCAATAGGAGGACCCGCAGTTAAAATTTTTCTAGCTCTTATAGGTTATGATATCTTTGCGTTCATACATACGGTACAGACAGACAGACGGACAAGGCTAGATCGACTCGGCTATTGACGCTGATCAAAATATATATGTATGTACACTTTATGGGGTCCTTCTGCCTGTTACATACATTTACATTTTGACCAAACACAATATATCCTGTTTGCCCATTTTAATCGTCGGTTTGACGAAGAGTTCTAAGAAAAGGCCAAAAATTAATATGTTAAACTTTTACGACTTGCTGCTTGTGCTCATGCTATAATTAAAGGGTTTGGCCTCTTCATGGGCAAATTTGCAATTTTCCACTTTGGTTGTTGGTAAGGGTATCTGAACGTTGTGTGTATGTAAACTGTTTGAGCCTGCCAAGCACATAAACTTACTCATTTTTCTATATGGATGGAAGCCTTAATGCGTTTGTGTGCCTGTTGGTTGCTTGCGTGTTCCATGCGAATTTCTAATGACAAGCCCTTGATTCAAATTTTGTTAAATTTGCATCGGGCAGGCAACCAATATGCACACAAACGCATAATTGCTTTCATCCCTATATAAAAGTGTATAATTGTGCGTGCTTGGCAGGCCCAAAAAGTTATCATGCAAGTTATTTGATTTCTCAATTGTGGATGTTGATGTTGTTTATTAAGGTGCTCGTCACAGTCACGTTATATTCCTTGTAGATTATGTTCGGAAAGCAACTAGATTTCCAAATCACTGGCCTTGTGGCTTAGCAATGAAGAAATTAGTATAACGGATTGATGACTCCAAGTGCCGGAGCAGTATATTTGAAGAAGTTTTTCTTACAAAGTTGGATACAAAACTAAACTAGAATTGACACATTGAATTGGATACGAACCCAAAGGCTAGGCGCATAAGTCTCAGCTGATATATCCAGCAAGCCGAATCAGCATACGCCAACACTGTCTCTTGAGACATAGGCAAGTGTCAGGTTACCGCTGCTGGCTGCAGTGGCCGGGCACTGAACTCATGCGTCAGCAGAATGTTGCAATGTAAACAAAGGGCACTGCAACATTTTTGCGTTATTATAAACAAAAGTGTGTTCTTATGACATAAATATGAAGTGCAATTCTTATGTGTTAACTTGCACACATGCCAAAGTTTAGGTACCCTTACACTTACAACAAGCATGGAAAATAGCAATTTTGCACATGAACAGTTCAAAGTCTTTAATAATTTCATACAGCTGCTTACTCGAAAGAGTGTGCGTGTGCACAAGCAGTGAGTCGCAAAAATCGACCATTTCAATTTTTGGTCTTTTTATAGAACTCTTCGACAAGCCGACGGTGAAGAAATACGACTTAGATATTTTTTTATTTTAAGCAAAATAGGTCCCCACAGTAAACAAAAAATAAATATAAATATTTAATTTAGGTCAAATAATTGTTTATTAAATAAATATAAATATAATTCTTCTCATTTTGCCTGACTGGACGAAGAAATACATCACAGAGCATTTGAATGTGTGGGCCCATTGCTACCACAGGCACAAAAGGTACACAATTGAAGTAAAAATCTTTGGCTCGCGACAAACGCCCTGATCTACTTGTGCGCACAGCAACTCAATTCAAACATATGTATGTATATATGTTTGTAGATCTCGGGGTTTTGTGAGATGCAATGCAGGGAGAGGCCAGCGTTCGGCTGCCAATCTCAGCAGTCTTACTCTATCTCCATGGGGCTTACTCTTTGCGAATTATCGTGGTTCCATTATTCTGGTTAGTGCTATTATCTACATGTTGTTTTGTTAGTGATTTAAGCTATGTATGTATAGATATAGAATTTGGCGATATATGTATCGAAATATGAATAATTGAACGTATCGATGCTGGAAAAATGACAAAATCGATACGAGGAGCTTTAATACATGGCATATGTTTGAGCGGTTGAACGGAGTGGACCTTAAGAGTAAAAAAGAAAAGTTGTGCAATGAAATATATTAAGAAAACAAGAAAATATTGTGGATTTTACAAGGGTTTTCGTTGTTTTAAAATTTATTTTTAAAGATAACTCAACGAACAACAATCTTCATTTTCCTCTCACAACGCATGGAAGAGTCAATCCACATCGGATTTCAATATCATATAGCTCTCATAAAATCGGTTGGTCAAGCGTTTAGTTGTGTATAAACAAATATTTTTAAATTATTTTGGCTTGTTCATAAAATATATTTATTGAATATTTACTTATTGCAGGGTAGTACGCAAATGCCGCAACATTTTTCCATTCCACTTAGGTTTTTTTCGGCCTCTCTCATGTCAGCATTAATTTGATCCATTCCTTCCTCAATTCGATCAAGTTGCTCTAGAAAGACGTATAAATTATACTTATTACATCGATTTTTAATGTAATGGAAAAGGTGTATACCATAGATTTTAAGTAAAATGATTGAAATAAAAACCATGAGCCAAATGTGCCCATAGGTATATGGATTTAAAAAATTTATTGTAATAAATTTAGATTTGAGGTCCATCCCACAGAATGAACATACCATTTCTATTTCAACCACATACATATTTATAAGTATATATTCTTTTTATACCGTGAACTCATTAAAAATGGTTAGAAGGGCTTAATGTTTTTATGCAAATGTATGTAACAGGCAGGATGAAGCATCTCCGACCCCATTTAGTATATATATTCTTGATCAGCATCAACAGCCGATCAACTGGCCATATCCGTCTGTCCGTCCGCATGTATGAACGAAAGGATTTCAGAAACTATAAGAGCTAGAGAAATTTGGTGTGTACGTCCTCCTATTCCAAGCGCTGATCGAGTTTGTTTCCGAGCAATCGATAAAAATCGATATCGAAATCCTGTTTTTTAATACATTGGGTAAATACAAAGAGCTAGAGTCACCATACTTGATATGTTGCTTTTAGAATAATATATATATATATATATAAATATCAAGTATCTTTATTTTTGCAGCTTTCGCCACCTCCTCGCTACCACCATTAAGCTATAAATCAAGTTAATAACCCAACTTGTATTGCCCACCAATTTAAGCTTAAGCTTTAGAATACACTAATATTCTATGGTACAACAAGCTATACTGTAGAAAATTTCATTAGCATCGGTTAAGAAAACCCAAAGTTATGTTTTACTGCACAATTGGATAGGGCGCAAAATCCAAAAATTTCTGTATCAGCAGCATTGCAATTGCGATTATTTTCTGTAATGCTATTTAAATTCATTATTTTCTCAATAATACCCCTAACCCCTAGTTATAATACTTAATTATTGGTGTGGCTGTAGAGTAGAGGCATAGCAAGTGGTGCGGTCTGTCGCGATTTCGAGCCCTACCGGGGAAACAAATTTTATACCCTAAACCCATTAAAAATGGGTAAAAAGGTATTTGATAAAATCGTATTTGTGCAAAAATTTAAATGTATGTAACAGGCAGAAGGAAGCATCTCCGACCCCATAAAGTATATATATATTCTTGATCAGCATCAATAGTCGAGTCGATCTAGCAATAGCCGCCTGTCTGTCCGTCCGTCCGTATGTATGAACGCAAGGATCTCAGAACCTATAAGAGCTAGAGACTTGTAATTTAAAATGTAGATGCTCCTAGCTCCCGCGCAGATCGCTCCCGCGAGAGTTGCATCTTTTTTTTGGATTGTTATTTTAGTTCCTTTTTTTATCATAAGTACTTAATTGTTGCTGTGGCTGCTGAGTAGAGGCATAGCAAGTAGTGCGGTCTGTCGCGAGTTCGAGCCCTACCGGGGAAAGTATTATTATTTTTTTTTTTTGCTGGTGTGGCTGTTGAGTAGAGTCGACAGTAAGTAATGCGGTCAGTTGCAAATTCGAGCCCTGCCAAGGGAACTTTTTTTAATTAATTTATTTGGTGTTGGAATAAGAGGGTTTAGGGTATCCCCTAGTCGGGAGCTCCCTTACTCTTACTTGTTTACGTGTATTCAGGTGACTTCCGGTGTTCCTCAAGGTAGTCGGTTTGACCGGCTAATCTTTACTCTTTTCATCAATTAGCTTCCCCCGATCCTGTCCAACTCTCGAGTATTAATGTAAGCTACTGATGTAAAAGTATACCTTGCATATAAAGATGATTATAGCAAGTTTTATGGAGTATATTGCTCGGATTCTTCTTTTAAATTCATCTATTCTAAGCTATGCAGCAAGTAGATAGCCTTAGCATATATTTGTAGTTTGTATTTCGCTTTTATAGACCTCTCTGCTTGTTTCAGCCTTTCTTGAAACCTTGTTTGGCCAATCACTATCAGTGAAGTCCAATGGTAGTTTTAAATAAAGGTGTATGCCAGGATACTATTTAAGTATGCAGTACATTTGGTGTAGATGCAGTTGAAATTTTGCAGCCAAAGCTAGTCTGCAGAGAGGCATTCTGCATACAGGTGAAACCGTTGCCTTAAAGTTCACAGCACATTTCTGTGTACATCGTTTCGTTACAAGCCGTGCCTTGTTTCGCTCTACTTGACTACCCGCTACTCGTTTAACATTGAGCACCCATTTACAACCAATAGCGAGCTGATCTTTTGCAAATTTATCAATCTGCCGTGTTATATTCAACATGAGAGCGATGAACTTCCTGTTCTTTGTGTCACGGCAAAATGCAACTTGGAAATTGGTGTGTCACGCCTTACCATATCTGCAAAAATATTGTATTGCTTTTTGGGTCGTCCACGCTTTCCAGTGCGAATTATTTTCGGCCTCCTGGTCCCAAACGTGGTTCACCGTCTATTCTCAGTATTCTTTGCACAAGTTGACCAATTAAATGAGACCATTGAGGGATTGATGGAAATGCAAAAACAAATGCTAACCATGCAAACACAAATATGGGATTTGCTCAACGCACGTAATCATAATACTTATCAGCGATACCTGACTTCTGGAGATCTTGACTCCTAATCTCCATCCTTATTAAAAACAACATACAGCATTTTCCTACCCGACCAGTTCGCAATAATGAGGTACAAATGGCCTCAGCTATAGTCACTACGGGCCTCAGCACTTTCGAGGTGTATTCTATTTACTGCCCTCCAACCTTCACTTGGCTGAGTGGCGATTTTGCAGACCTGTTTAGACAACTAGACCGTATGTTCATTTTCGGTGGTGATTGGAACGCCCTGGGGAGACCAGCGGTGCACCAAAGAGGTAAGGAGCCTTAGAAATTTGTCCTCTCCTCATGTGGACGTATTAGCTACTACCCATACAGAGCTAATAACAACCCAAACTGTCTGGAAATCGATATCTACAAAAACATTTCTCAATGGAAGCTCCAGATAGACAAGCGTTTTGACATGTTCTGGGATTATATCCCATTAATTGCAACCCTCAACTCCGCTGCAACTTGCTTTTTTCCTGCAGAGAGGCTCATCGGTCGCTACCCAAATTTACAGGAGCTTAAGCGATGCTTGAATAACTCGATTTACCCCGACATGAAGCTTAATTCCTGTACAGATATAGATGATGCCTTGGATATATTTACAAGTAAAGTTCGCAGAGGCGCTCTTGGCTTCTTTAACACATTAATGGTAGACTCCCGCTTACCCCTGAACACCACCTCCTGTCAAAGAAACGCAAGCTCCGAAGAATATATTTCCGCTCGCAGTATCCAGTCGACAAGACAAACAGCTCCAAGACAGAGCATCACCTCAATTAGGCGTTACGCTCAAACCGTGCTGCCTTCTTTGACAATATGCTCGTCAACTTGGATTTCAGCAACTATTCCTCTTCTTCATTGTAAAAAGAAACCCGAAGTGCTAAACGCCAGCCGATCCGCCAGGTCCCACTAAAAAACGCCAGCGGCAGATAGTATCCGTCAGACGACGAAGACCTTTGCTCATGAAATGGCCTCATTAAACGATTTGAGAGACGTTTGGTCTCTGCTTTCCGTTCAACTTCATTTTGACCTCCCTATCTCACTATGTACCTCGGCGAAAGTCTCTAAGTCTCTGCAACATAACATAGAAGGTAACGCGTTGCTATTCGTTACGATGGTATTTAACGCGATATTAAAGGTGCGATTCTTCCCGTCTTAGTTTGCCATTGTCTCGACGATCTTCTGCCTTCGATTTAAAAGGTTTGGCAGCGACTGCTTGCCTCCAGAATGATGGTTGTCAAGGAATCCCGTGGACGCATTCCTGACCAACAATTTGGATTCCGCGCGGGTCACAACACTACCGAACAACTTCACTAGATTACAAACGACATTCTTCAGGCGGTTGATTCAAAAGAATACTGAAATGAAGTCTTAATCGAATGTTTGGCACCTGCGGCCAAGGTAAAATCTTGTCTACCCTGCAGCGACACCGTTCCACAGAGCAATAAAGTTAAATATCTAGGATTGCTCTTCGACCAGCGACTAACTTTAAGACTCCACAACACCTTAGTGGTTAATAGTTGCCGAACCAAAATCGCCAGCGTATATTGTTCAGTAACAAGAAGAGCAAGCTTTCTCCCAACAATAAGTGCACAGTGTACTGCCCCCGTATGGATGTACAGCATTCCGATCTGGCAAATTACTGCCAAGTCTCAACGTAAGAGAGTGCAAATCATGCAAAACACAGCATTACCCCTAATCACGGTGTCTGGCTACGCAGCCAAAACAGCTGGAGCGACCTCGCAACTAATAAGAGCAGCATTTTAATCTCATCTTAAAACACTTGCTCTGCGAAGCAATTGCCTTAATTTCGCTCTTAAAATTACAATTACAATAAGCTGGCGTTCTTCGCTGTAACGAGCAATTTATTGCCCTTGCATTACTTATGCGAAGGCCTCGATGCTGCGCGTCGAGTTAGTTCAGTTCGTGCATTTGGTACACATCGGCCACTTGCATTACTTAAATTTATAAAAAATCAATTGTCGTTTCGCTGTAATCGGCACGTGCGAATGCGGCTTCGCTTGCGTTTGTAAATTTTTTGTAAACTCCAAAATGTAAGCTATAAGCACAAAGCAATTCGGATCTGCCTTTTTCATTAAAGTTATAATAAACATACAAACAAATTGGAGCACCAGAATTAAAATAAGGTTAATTATTTCTATTTGTGAAAGCAATTGAAAAAGCTCAATAGCGCAACATTTTGCTGACCCCGATGTGATTTATTTGTTGCTGTAAGATTATGTGCTTTACATTAAAGCAATAATCTTAAAAGATCACCACCTAAAATTTCGTTTTGTGCTGTTTATATACATATAAGCGATCGGCGTCGCTTTGCCTACCCTCTCGGTCGCTTACAATTTTTGTTCATTTGTACACGCTACAGTCGTTGCTTCGTTACATAGCTTGACACTTGCATTCGCCGATATTCTTACTTCTATTGTTTTTT